AACCACTTCAACAGACACAATTTTCACATTTTGCTTTCATTTCATCATAAATTTGGGTGAGTTGGTCACAGTAATTCGCCACACTTATTGGTTGACCACACGATCTCACAGCAAAAGACGTGTCGATTCACACAAAAGAGGTGTCGATCATGGGATTTTCGAACCTAGTGACTCGGGGCTTTATCTGGTTACAAAAAAAAGTGATCCACACGCCGAAATCTAGGATGTCGCAATTGAAAACTTAATTCAAAAGTGTATCAAAATTACCCAACTTTTCATCGGGTTAGTGGAAGGCTGAATTATCGCAATTCGCCTCGTCACCTGAAGCCTTAGCCTGCTGTACCGCGCCAAACAAAGGAAAAGGCTTGACGAATCGAAGCCATATTAAATGTAGAACACGATTTCCAGCAAAGAAGTGCTCCTAAATCATTAAGTAACGCCCAATCACCCTGCCTCATCGATTTCCGAGGTTGTGAATTCAAAGGAAATTGTGAGTTTGTTTTGACATCTTTCATTGAATCAGCAGTTTACCAATCGATTTTATTTGCGGGGACAGGGTCAGGGGGATAGGGTGGATGGTGCTGCAGGATTCCCAATATTAACACCCACAGATTTCGCTGTGTCAGTTGCTGTGGTGACAAGATGAAGGCTGATGCCTTCTCGATAAACCTAAGTTGCACGCTTTGCTTGAACTTGGACACCAATTTGGGCCAGCTGCTCACATTGTTTCTTCAAAGTTTTTGGTTGTCCACGAGAAAAGAGCTCGGAAAAGATGAATCCTCTGCCGTCTCACCACCAGACATAACGACATTTTCTCTGGAAGCAGCAGGAGTTCGGGTTTTTCCATTGATTCTGCTCTTTCGCTTTCGTGATCCCAGCGTCTTCTGCTTTCAACAAATCAGTTTGCCCCTTAACTACTGACTTGATCTTTGAAATGTTTATTTTGTCGACAGATGGTGAGAGAATTTGCAGTAAAAGCAAATGCCTAGTTTCAAGGCGCAACCACACTTGCTGAAATGGCGAAATGCAGCCGAATTCTCGACGTTTCTCTCTCAGTCATTCCTGACCTGATAACAGTAGCTGGATCTAAATTAACCTCCACACTTCCATACAATCACTCCTTTCCTGAGTTTATTTAACATTTAATCATTTAGCTATTCACCAAATCACACATACACGGAAATGGCGAAATACACTAGAATTGTCAACATTTTGATCCTCATTCATCTCCTTAGTGTTAATTCACAATATGTTTTCACCAAATCACGATTGGAGTCACTGAAAACGTGGCAATGTAGACCAGATCGAAGTTCATCGTTTAGACTGAAGTCAGAATTTCGAAAACGATTGAAAATGCCAACTATTTTTCCTCACAACTCGTAAGAGGATCTTTAAAAGTTTGTCTTGGTTGGTATTGTTCCGTTCTGTCGAAACGTAGGCAGCACATAAATCGAGATGGAAGATAGACTAACGTTGATTAAAATGACAAAATACTGCTGAATTCTTAACATGTCGCCTCTCAGTCATTTTCCAGATGGTACTTCTTGAATCGCTATCAATCAAATTAAAGATAGTGTCGTTATCAGATCGAGACGATTTGTTTAAATCGAAGTCGCCATTTTGAAATCGACAGCGCTAAATGGCAACCTTTCAAATGCTTTCCTAAGTTCATTTAACATTTAGTCATTTAGCTATTCACCGAATCACAGAGTCACTGTCTGTTTAGGATCCAGAACTCCCCAAGATGGCTCATCACCGGTTTTCGTAATTTTTTCACACTAACCCCCTAACCACCCTCGGCGCCCTACTGACAGCCCCATCTGTGTCAACATGCTGACACATCACTCGGCCTTTAACTGAGGTGATGGAAGCTCTCTGCACGAAGTCGTGTCTTCCATTAGCATAGGGGGGTCGGTTCCAGAGTCAATAAGGGGTCTGGGTACCGGCTACCTGAGTGGGTGTTGCCTTGGTTACGGACAACCGTTGCACTATCAACGCTGGAATCGCGCTTAGAGCGAAATTCATTGCCTCGATCGAAGTCGCTACTTTGAACTTGGAATTAGTTACCTTAGGCACCACAACACGACCCAAATAAACGCCTGTTGTTGCAGTTCCAACATCTTTTTCGCAATTTGAACCCACGTAACGTAACTTGTCAAAAATGTAACTTTTCAAAGACTAACTTATTATTATTGATTGATTGTCGGACACAAGTGTGATTATGGCGTTTCGCACACAAAAAACCAATGAAAACGGGGCTCTTACTTGCGTGTATGAGCAGACCCGGTCTAAGCACCATTTGACCCAATTTCTAAGCGATAAAAGTACACTTGCACTTGACAAGGTCACAGTACCAATAGCAAAACAGTTTACTTGGATTCGTAAAATTCCATTGTCTACAAAAGGCGAATTCTGTGGTGGTAGTGTGAGTAGTCGTTTAAACTTAAACAAGTCAAGGTCTTTTTCGACAAGCACTAACTATTATTAGATCCAGATCATACACATAAAACCCCCGTAGATGGTGAGTACTTCCTAATTCCAAATCCGCCAAAACATTTAGCAGTTTTGCAAGACTTTGAAGATGAGCGCATTACACTTACCAGGAAGTAGGAAGCATCTGTTTTAACTGCAACGGTCCGTTGTCTGCATTATTCTCCGCTATGCACTGAATCAAGTCGGCGATTGTGTCGTCGTCGAGTTTACACTCCGTTCCAAATGTTGCCTTCCAAAGCACGTTCCACGACAGACGTCTCAGGACGGAACTGTCAAGAAAGAATGCAGATGTCTGTGAATTTTAACTCTTGCCCTTCAACACGCACGAAAGTGTTGGTCCAGGTAGTGTGTAGCCTTCATGCCAAACATTCTAGAGCTAAATTCTGTGGGTTTATGGTGAATAGTTGACCTCGATGGAGATGAACAGGACCTAATCGAGTCGGAGAGGCAAAAAAACGAGTTTGATTCGTTGCGCGGGCCGGTGGTTCCTAAAACGAGCTAGTTTTGACTGAGTACCACTTTGTAATTCGGTAATCTATGCACATTTGCTTCCAGAATCAACGAAAAAGACGTTATTCTTGAGCAGGAATCCAGAGTAAACACGACTAGCCAGACTTGCAAGGAAATTCTGCATTTTTAAAACCATCACACCATAACCTGGTAGTCGTGTGCCCACCTGATTTTAACCGGTTCGCCATTTTTCTGTCTGAGGAAATCGACCACCTTGGAGCACTCAGAGTTGAGGTCGCTATCAACTTGCAGATTCGCGTCATCAGTCGGCGTGTCCTTTGCCTGAATGTCCCTGACGCCCTTGGGCAGAAACTGGTTGAGTGCTCGGACGAAGATGCGTCTTGAGAAGGCCGCGTTCTCGCCATCGTAATTGGTAATGCCTGAATTTTTTTACAAGGCAAAATTCACACATTGTCATGCATTAAGACATTGCTGGTTCGCTAATTAATTAAAATATACGTCGAACAGTTAGTCTGGTCAGAGTTGGAATTCTGGTTGTACGATAAATTGTTTAGACATAGACTTCAACTCATTGAGGTCGGTCATGTGATTGGCCTCGAAAAAGAATTCCTCTCACTCAACAAATTTTAAAACGGCGCTCCGTAAGTGAGCCAGTCCAGTAAAACAAGGAGGGGCGGGCAATGTGAATAAAACACTAAGGCCTTATCATAAACTCACAATGCATCTTGAGGTTATTTGAGGGTCGCACTAAATTTACTGAATAGCAAATTTGGAGATGATTTTGACTGAATTAACACAATTCGATTGTTCAAATGCTTAGTACTTGTTGCGGGAACAGTAGTCCAACGGTAATTGGTTATCCACACATAACAGATTAGTGATGAGTCATGATTTGATTAGGCCTCACGAATCTCACTGTGAGTGGCAGCCCTCCCCACCACCACCACCACCACCACCAACAGTGTTTGCAAGAACTGAGAACATACCGAAGCCCTTTGCAAGGAGGTGATTGGTTAGCATTGTGTGTCGTCCAGTCAGATTGCGCCGTTTCAGGGCGGCCTCTTTGATGCTTTCCTCGTCACTGAGACCGATCACAATCTTCCCACATAGTCTGAAACTCACAACTGGACCGTATTTTTGACGGAGGACCTGTAACTCCTTGAAGGCGTCATCACCTAAAGTGGCATTGTTTCAACAGGAGATCATCACAACCCCCAAAGTCGGTCGAAATTTCGATTTACACAAATAACAATTCATTAAAACAGTAAAATTATCCGTTGATATTTTGTTTTAATTACAGTGATTTGCATTTCCAACGTACCCAGACATCGAGTGTAGCCCAACCAAGGCCAGCCAATTGGACCAGGTGGAAGTTGGATCTCGACGTAGCACCAGCGAAGTACTCGGTAAAAGAGGTAGACGCCGGTGGGAATAAGAATCATCCATTTGAGATTCCCGCCAGAAACATCTTCCAGCATTTCTTGGGCCTACGAAAAGAGAGCGGGGATTCAGGAAACCCGCACAAATGGAATAGTGTCAAGATCTGTAACCTGGTTAAATTTTGATGTGGCGAGTCTGTAGGCCTGCGTTTATTGATTCAGCGTTCTGTGTGTAGTTGAATGTGGTGGCTATGTGACTGTTACCGTTGTACATTTAAGAGATGTCGTCTACAAAACTATCTCATTTCCAAAATTTTAACTCCTGGTTCTTGGGAGTCGAATGAGGCTGAGAGCGCTGAGGCCACGATACGAGGGAAGATCGAGACGCTAAAGTACATTTTCGGGTCGCCGTCTGTGGTTATGATGCTTGTGATGCGTACCGTGGAATTGTTATTGTTTTAATTTTCCAAAATCAATAACGTGGGTTCGTTTCAAATCACTGTGCTTCTGAGTGCTCATTTTGTGTTTTTCAACTGTGATTGTGAAGTGCCAGTTGATGCCACGTGAAGTGTCAAATTACACGAAAATTTACACAACTTTGCTTTCAATATTCAATAGAATGATTTGAGAGTAAAATAAGAATGTATCTGGCAGATTTCATTGATAACATAAATGAACATCGGACTCCCAAACTAGCTTATCTCACTAATGTCAAGAATGCTAAACCTAGACAATGAAAAATAACAAGTTTTAGGAGTGGAACGCGGATCAAAATTCGATTTTTTGTGCCTAATTCAAACAAACTGGGTGAAACAATGAGAGAATGAGTGGTGCTGATGTTTGTGATTTACTGTACATTGCGTGTTGTAGGCCATTAGTTGAACTCACCCTTTTGTAGAGGTCCATGAGGATCAGCGCAAAGCCAACGTGACGCGTCTGAGTGAATGTGCTGGATGTTTCCCAAAGGGCTAGATCCACCACTGATAGCTGAATGTGTAGGGGCGGTGTTTATATGCATCAGTAGACCAGAGTCACACCCAGCAGTGAGGGAGGCCAGTGTGTGCAGACAGAAAGTCTGCCGCCTGCCAACCATTGGTTGCCGTCACATCTGACACTGGCTACGGGCCAATTAAATTACCCGCAATGACCTTGAACTCTTTCAGTCGTCGTTAATTTTATTACCCGCTTCAGGTGAAACGATGAGGCATTCCAAAAATTGCATTGGTTTCCACGGCAATCGATGGCAAATTTTAGCCTGTGGCCCTTGTACCAATGACGCCTGAACACTTGGAAATGAGTGATCGATGCTAAATTAGCAGTAGGTTTGTGGATGGCCAGTGCCGCAGTCCTACCCTGATTCGTTTTACCACTTCAAACACAGTCGTGCGTCGAGGAGAGTTCGTTGCAAAAGCGCTGGGACATTTAACCCACGGATTGTTAAATTGAAAATAACAATTTGCACCAAATACCAAAAAAAATCAGACGATGTGATAAATTAACAAGAAGTAGGAAGAAAAGAAGGCGGTGGTGGTGGGACTGAAACACGGTATTTGCCGCTATTTCAAATCCTCCACCGATTTCCATCGAAACCAGAAAAATTCTGCCAACCTGGTGCTAAGAACTAACCCCCTTTCAATGTGCTTGAGAGCCAGTAATTAACAACACGTTTTGGAAAGGAACAAGCAACCGCACTGCAAGATATGTGGTGTTGCTGAACTGTCGCGACTCGTGTTTACACACTGCAGCTAATCCGGTCTCCCCAGCCTCCTACACAGGGTTCCCCTTTTCGCAGCATGTCGCCAGTCGCGCGGATCCTCAACCCCCCCCTCATTAGCACGAATATTTATCTTGGATTGTCCTCACACCTGGGTCTCGATGTTAACTCATGTATGACTCACACATCCGAGGTAAGAATGCACACCTGCAAATCCCACACGCGACACCAACGTGGTTGAGTTCTGGAGTAAGCGGTTGTGTCCACGTCCTCTCCGATCTTTTTCTTCATCGCGGGTATCAGGGAAACGTAATCGGGCCAGGGTTAATTCCGAGGCCCTGGCGTGGTTCAAGACCACAGAAAGACCAATTTATGATATTTAGTACAGTAAAATCGTTGATCTGAATTGTTGGAGATCTTACTAGCCAATCAGAACAACCCATCAAGATGCCCTGTCTACACAAGTTGAATAAGGTGTGAATGTTGCAATAAAGAGAGCTGTTTGAAGTTTACAATCGCGTTTAACCGCTAATCCATAATCACAATCTGGGGCCTAAGTACTTTTACTCGAGGGACATTTACAATTGCATTGTGATTGTGAAATACCGACAGTGATTCAAAGGCACCCAAGCGACTACCACGTTGCCCTGTCAGACCTGGTTACTGACAGCCAATAAGAATTTGTAAACCCCTTAGATGATTACCAGAAGATATCAAATTGTATGCAGTCTTGCATGTTATTTCCCTCATCTGTCTACCGTAATATTTGTTGAAGAACTCAGGGAAAATTTGATAAATCAATGATAGAATGAAAAAAGGAGTCAGTGGTGGGACTTGGACACGAGACTTGCCTACTCTACTTCGCTCAGATGCTGACGAAGTACCAGTTTACAAGGTGTCAGTTAAAATTTACCCTCGATTCTCGCCAGTTAGTTACGTCACGTTTTGGAATCGAACAAGCGACCGCATTGCAAACCAGGTGGTGTCATTGGACCAATTATATTCCGCCTATACGCCCCTAGAAATATCGATTTTAGTACGGTAAAATCGTTGATCTAAATTTTGGCAGATGTAACTGGCCAATCAGAACGGACTGTCAAGACACGCTGCGGACACCGGTTTTGGATTTCGATGAGGAGCATTTGGTGATGTTTTACATTTCGTTTAACTATTAGTCCATGTGCTTAGCACATGGCGCCAGCGATACATGTGCAATTGCATTGTGATTGTGAAACACGGAGAGTGGTTCAACTCTTTGTTGGCTGGCGATGCGAAACACATGACCAATCGGATGAGTAGTAAATGGCGTGATTCAAACAAGTCTATAATTATCCCGCGAATTTGTCTACTCTGACCTTACTTTTATAATATATTATCTGGACAATGCGCCCACACGCGTAGCCCATGGGTGACCTTGACAGATGACATTTGAAGAGCGAACGAGCCAATGGGATGAGAGCGGTCAGTATGATTGAGCGAGTTGGCACGAATGAGCACAAAGTCACTGAGAGGGTAAAATTAAAGCTGCCAATTATGTGAGAAGGATATAGCCTGAATTGCGCCAACACATTTCGACTTTGTCTGTGTCACTTCTGGTCCCAATATAGCGCATTCTCACCACCATGTTTTGTGCACGATGAAGCAGCCATGCATTGTCGTCCGTTGGTAGTGGAACGACCTCGTCGCAGAACAGAAGAGCTGGAATTTGTTGGAGGACAGGGAAACGAATTCCTCCATTGTTGTTATTTCGACGGAAGGCTCAAACGTAATTTGAAGATATGTGAAATGTTGAAGCCAGTCTCATCTCCGGAGCCAGAGGATTCTACTTGCAGGTGTCTAAATACTATGCTTGCTGGGTCCCGATGCTACAGCGACAAAGTCTGCAAGCACTCTGTACACGTTGTCGTCCACAAAGGCCTCCTTCAACGCAAACAAGCACGAGAACAGTGGTGGTTCATGGCATTCAAGTAAAAACCACAACTATTTTTACAACAGTTATGATGCATCGTGATAGCTATTTCCACATTGTTGTCTCAACCCCCGCCTTCTCGTCGATGTTTACTTCCAGAGACTTCGTCGAATAGACCTCTTCACTGACCTCCTCGTCAACAGGTGCTGATGGCTCGGGAAGGGACACGTTCTAGGAGTGTGGGCAGACAAAACCAGGCTAGATCGCCTTAAGCGGAACGTCCGGCAGCCAGTAAGTATCAATAAGCAGACAAAATGTGGGTACCTGCTTTGCTTTGTACTTTTCGAGGACGCGAAGAATCGCTTCACGTGCACCGAGGGCGTGAACGCCAATCTGTGAAAAGACAAACCAACCAATAGGAAACCCGGGTTACAAATTGCTTAGCTACTTGACAAAGTCCAGAAATCACGTGACCAGTTGTTCTAAGAGGACGTTATCGTTAAAAAATCAATGAACTTGCCCTAATTAAGTCATCGTCGGTGAAGGAGAGAAGCCGATCCGACGTGATGCGATGATATTCGAAGTTGGCGGCGTAGTCGGAGGCGTCGGCGTCTTCAAGCACTTTGCACACGTCGTCGTCCACAAAGGCTTCCTTCAACGCAAACAAGCACGAGAACAGTGGTGGCGCATGGCATCCAAGTACTAACTACTACGGCGTGATCCCTATCTTCATTTGCTACTCCTACAACTGTTATGATGCGTCGTGATAGCCCCTCCCACATTGTTGTCTCTACGACGACCCAGTGAAGTTCACGAACAACGAACAAGTAAGGAATGGCAGTCTGTTTGATCAGTAAGAAGAGGCAACGATTTCTTCTGTTGGTGTGATTTGGATGGAAGGCTCAACCGTAATTTGAACATCTGTGAAATGTCGGGGCCAATCTTATGCCTCGAGCCAGAGAATGTCATTTGCAGATGTCCAAATACTGTGCTTGAGGGGTTCAGTTGCTACAGCCACGAAGTCTGCCGGGAAAGTTAGATGCAACGTCGGAGAGTCCAGCACAAATTGACGGGACCAGATTCTCGGAGCACCAAACGCAACCTCGTGACCCTCTCTTACGTGTGGATGCATCTGCAGAAGAAAACGATGGCGATCCAGTGTGGATTTGTTGGAACCACGTCCCACGCATCAGCGGTGCATGGATCCTTGTATTGCGTCAGGGTACCT